TCATAGCTGCACATCCTTCTAGTTGCTGTATGTGGGACACGGCCTCAGCATGGCCAGAGAAGCGGTGCGTCGGTGCGCGCCCAGGATCCGAACCCCGGGCCGCCAGCAGTGGAGCGCATGCACTTAACCACTAAGCCACGGGGCCGGCGCATGTAGTGTCCTTTACCTTGATTTTTATCAGTAGTTTTTTCACATGTTTCTTAAACATGTATGACTAACAAAGGAAACATTATGGGATATATAAGAATGGCTCAGGAATATTTTTGTAGATCCAGAGCAGAACTGGAAGGTATACCTTTGTTCAACGTTTGAGGTCTTAACTAAGCCCACTTAGCCCAATTGAAAATATCCATACTTCTAGAGCCTTATTATGTTTTGCTGTTCAGAATTTTGAATCACAGGCTTTTTTTGCCCCTAGCAAAAAGTCTTTTTGTTAGTGATTAATGCATTTGACTGTAGCTTATGTACATACTTATCATTCCCAAACCTCAAACTTAACATGTTAAAAACTATACCCTCTCGGGGCCCCATGGCATAGCGGTTAAGCGCTCCTGCTCTGCTGCTGGCGGCCCAGGTTCGGATCCCAAATGCACACTGACGAACCGCTTGTCAGGCCATGCTGTGGCAGTGTCCCACATAAAGTGGAGGAAGATGAGCATGAATGTTAGCTCAGGGCCAGTCTTCCTCAACAAAAAGAGGAGGATTGGCATGGATGTTAGCTCAGGGCTGATCTTCCTCACAAAAAAAAAAAAAAAAAAACTCTCTCAACCCCTCCTGTTTTCCTTATCTCAGTTAAAGGGATGCCGTGTACTCTGTCACGCAAGCTAGCAACCCAAGTGTCATTCTAGACTCCCATCCTTCACTAACCACATCAGTCAATCCCTGTATCCCTCAGATCTGCACCCTGCCCCCTTTTAAATCTCTGCTACTGTGTCTTAGTTCTAGGTGTACTACTTCATCTCAACCAGATTTCTGGAATAGGCACCTGAACTGATCTCTCTCCCTGCATTATTAACCCCTGCAACCCATTCAAGGGGCCAGTTCTGTTTCTGTACAAATCTGCTTAAAATTGACTCTTACCAGTGCTCCTCTTATTTCACATAGGATAAAGCCTTAATGTGTTAGTATGTCACACGAAGGCCGTCGTTTTGGCTGCTTCTTCCCCTTCCCCTACCCCTACCCCATCTTTACTACCCTGTCCCTTCGGTTTATTATCCCCTGAATAATATGTGACTGGAATTGCATATTCATCAATATGAAACATCTCTACCCTGCAAATGTTTATTCATTCTTCAGGAGCCAACTCAAATATCACACAGTTTCCCCTAAGTATTAGTTATGCCCTTCTCCCGAGGCCCATTTTGTATATATGTACCTCTATCATTATGAAAAATAAAATAATTACCTTTATTAAACATTGCATTCATCATCTTAGTTTTGAAGCCTTCCAAATAAAGTGTGACAGGTTCCCCTCTGCCCCAAATATTCATTTATTTGAAGTTTATATTTTTCTCAGGATCTTCGAATCTTTAAATATAATAAAATACCTTGGAAATCACTATGCTAGGAAAATACACATGCTTTCTTATTTAATCAGTTCTTAGATTAGTTTACTTAAATACTGTTGTAGAATCTTAGAACTGAATTTTGAGCCTGGGGTACATGCCTGAATCACTAATATTTGCATAATTCATTCAGTATCTGAAGCGGTTCCCCTGAGTCTGAGGTACATTTCTTTAGCCTTAGAAATACAAGAATTAGAAATGCTTTTTGTTAGTTGGATTGAAATAATTTTTTATTACCAGTGCTGCCATCCTGTATTCTTTGTCAGTTTTTATTTTTAATCTTCATCCTTTACCTTTTGCTTTTGAGTATATCATATTGTTCTATTGATGATCTAAGGATAATGCTGGCATATTTAGATTTTCTCTCAATATTTCAGAAAATCAGTGCAGATAGTATTGCAGACGAAGGGTTCTTTGACCTCTTAAGCCGATTTCAAAGCAATCGGATGGATGATCAGAGGTGCTGCTTACAAGAAAAGAACTGCAGAACAGCCTCAACCACAGCTGCTTCCACTCCCCCTAGAATGATGCTAAAAAGTAAGTTATCAATGCTTCTCTCCCAATTTAGTAGTTCCCTTTGATATTCTTCTGATTTATTTCTGAGAATTTAGTTCTCATCATAGCAGGTATGATAAATGAGCCTGAATCCAGGTATATCTGAAATGCTGGTATTCGTACAGTTCAAAACTGTAGGTTTTGAACAAAAGGTTTTGTTTCAGTTCCCCCAAGTTTATCTATATTTCTAGTCCAGTGCACTTTCTATTAATTATATCATACTGCCTCCCTGGTTTCTTTGGGGTTGGGATAAAATCTAACTTTAAAAAATAAAAAAAATGAGGAAAAAATTATACCTAAATGTACCTTATAATTGTATGTAAAATGCAAATGCTTCATATCTGGATTAAAAAAGAAAAAGCAAGACAGACTGAAGAGGAACTTACAGCTAAGGCTGAAGCTAAGGGCTGCCTGAGACTTAGGTCTAAAACAGATTACTTAAATTTCTCTATTTCACCTACCAGCAGACTTCCTCTACCATAGACCTAGACTTGCCAGCAGCACTTAACTCTTAGTTAGCTAAATGGTTCCTATCCAGGGCATGGAATAAAAACACTGTCCCACTCATCCTGGTCTGAGAAATTATGTAAGAAAAACAATTTATTTACCTTCCAAAATCTAGCCCCATATCTTGTAAAGTTACATTTGGGATGGGCATTAGATAAAGGGAAATATAGTCAAATCGGAATAACCTCCAAGTGGGTCATATCAGGTCCTCTGGGATTCATTCTTCCCTCCCTGTCCATCCAATCAGGCTCTAGCCTATCAGTGATGCTCACTGACAGAGCTCAAGCAAGAGGGCAGGGCGAGTGTTGGGAGTGAACAAGGCAAAAGGAATTATATGTATGTAACAAGTATGCTTAAACATTTTTGTAATGTCTGGATTTTTTTTCCTATTCATAGCGCCACCTGTTTCCATGGTGTCCCCGAACACGGATGAGTTTTTAGATCTTCTTGCCAGCTCGCAGAGCCGCCGTCTGGATGACCAGAGGGCCAGTTTCAGTAATTTGCCAGGGCTTCGTCTGACACAAAACATCAGTCAGTCGGTACTTGGCCACCTGATGACTAATGACAACAAGGAGCCTGATGAAGACTTCTTTGACATCCTTGTAAAATGCCAAGTATGCTTGTGTATTTTTTTCATTCTGTATATAGCACAGATGCAGTTGAAAGCTTTGGCAGTTTATAATTCTAATTTGGAAGGGCTCATTTTGTATTAGGGAGGCTAATAATTCAGGGGTCCATCAGACACTATAGATTCCTTGTGATAGCTTCTTATTCCTTTTGGCTGGTGAGGTGAGATGTTGCTGATGCCTCCCTCTGAGCCGTGGTGGAAAGGAGACTATACAGGATATGGGATGAAACCTAGAAAAGAGTCCCTTTTTCCTAAATTTTAGGAGATAGCATCAAGAACAACCAGTGATTAATATGGGAAGAGTCTAGCTGGGGCCCTGTCTACACAGTTTACCCTTTGGCAGAAATGTATATATTGAGATAGCTTTCGTATTTTAGCTATGTTAATAATTATTAACCAAAGTGGTTAAGGAATATCTCAAATGGCTTGGACAAGACCATGAGAAAAACAATGCTTGTTTTCACTAAAAAGACACATTTCCTCTCCTTGATCCTAGTTCTGTCTCAGTTTTCTCATTCATAAAAAGATGAGATGATGGTACTACCTAACTCGCATTCATTCAACAAAAAATTATTGAACACCCATTATTTTTCAGGTGCTATTCTAGGCATTGGGGATATACTTGCTTTTTAATTTTTATTTATTTATTTTTCCCCCAAAGCCCCAGTAGATAGTTGTATGTCATAGCTGCACATCCTTCTAGTTGCTGTATGTGGGATGCGGCCCCAGCATGGCCGGAGAAGCGATGTGTTGGCGCGCGCCCGGGATCCGAAGCCGGGCTGCCAGCATCGGAGCGCACGCACTTAACCGCTAAGCCACGGGGCCGGCTCTATACTTGCTTTTTAAAGGATCCTACATTTTAGTAGGAGAGAAGTGTGTGTGTGTGTGTGCATAGATAGATAGTATATGTCAGGTATGATACTTGCTGTGAAGAAAATTAAAGCAAGATAAAGGGGTAGTGGGTAACCAGGGGTGGTGGTGGTCATTGGAGGAGTGTGTGTTTCAGATATGGTGGTTAGGGAAGACTTTTTAGATTGACATTTGAAGAGAAACCCGAATGAGGTGAGGCAGTCAGCCACGTTAATACTTAGTGAAAGAGCATTCCATGCCGAGACAGCAAGTCTGCTCTTGGATATAAAAGCTTAGCAGGTTCAAGGAACGGCAGAGTGGCCAGTGTTACTGGCATGGAGTGAGTAAAGGGTAGGGGAGAGCGGTATGAGATGAGGATGGAGAAGCAATCAGGGCCTAGATCACACAGGCTCTTGTAGGCCACAATGAGGTCTTGTGTTCCAAATGTGATAAGACATTGGAGGGTTGTGAAGGATCATCCTGGCTACTGCTGAAAGAATGCAGAAAGGCAAAAGGTGTTAGTAGGAAAACCAGCTAGGAAACTAATGTGGTGATTCAGGCAAAAGATATTGGTGACTTTGACTAGTGTGGTGGTAGTAGTGATGGTAAGTAGTCAGAATAGGGATATATTTTGAAGTTACAATTGATTGGTGAGACAGACCTGGTAATAAATTGGATGGAGAGTATGAGAAAGAATTAAGGATAACTCCTGTCTTTTTGGCTTGAATACTGAGTGAATGATTGGTGCCATTTACTGAAATGGAGAAGACTAGAAGAGAAACAATAATAACAAAAAAAGTTACTCCAAATTCAAAAAAGAAAGAAAAAAAAACAAATGAAAAATATAAGTACTTCAAAGTCTACAGTATAGTATCTGATAATATAGCTCAAGAATAAGAATAGGACTGTGAGAGCTGACATTTGAGTGCCCAATACGTTGCTAGGCACTGTGCACTTATGTGCCTTTACATTTAACCCCACAGCCCTGTGAGGGTCCAGTTGTTTACTGGCCTCCTAGTCAGCACCACCTGCACCCCTCCCCACCCCCCACCTCGCTCACTCTTCATCATTTCTCCTGTCATAATTCTTGGTAATTTCATCGTCCTCCAGTTCATCCAACACTCGGGCACTTCAGTTTCTAGACCTCCTTTCTTCTGTGTTTTCATTCTTTACTGTTGCCTTAGCCATTAGTTCCCCCTGGTCATAGACTACATCCTCATTCTCAATAATTACACCATCTTAAAATCAGGATTTCAAACATCCCCCGTTGACCACCTGCCTATTTTTCCAGGTCACATTTTAACCATTTTTAAGTATACAGTTCAGTATCATTAAGTACATTCATATTGTTGTGTACCTATGGCTATACTTCTACATAATACTTGTTACATTCTGATTACATAAGTCATTTTAAAGAAAAAATTTTACTAGGTTGCAGGTCTAAAGATTAAGTAAATTTCTAAGAAGAGGCAAAAAAGGAAATGTTTAAAGCTACATTTTCTTGTTGTGAATGACAGACATAACGTAGCTTGGTGCTCTCCTTCCCTACAGTATTTTTTTAATCTCGTTCTCATAAATTTTTAGGGGTCCAGATTAGATGATCAAAGATGTGCTCTACCTCCTGCTGCCACAAAGGGACCCACAGTACCAGATGAGGACTTCTTTAGCCTTATTTTACGGTCTCAGGCGAAAAGGATGGATGAACAGCGAGTTCTTTTACAAAGAGATCAAAACAGAGACACAGAATTTGGGCTGAAGGACTGTTTGCAAAGTAATACTTTGTTGGAATTTAAAAATTCAGGAAAAAAATAAGCAAACCACTAGTTACTATGTGTATATTTTTTAAAAGCAACCTTATTTCCTTTCAGAACACTGCAGGGAAATTCAATCTTATTACTTTTTTCCTTAAAAGGAGAAATTATAGCACTGTAATACAGCTCAAAATGTTTTTAGAATGATGTACATATTTAACCTGTAATAGTGTACTATTAATTACATTCCTCCAGACACTCACTTGTTTCAGGGTGGAGGTGTCTTATAAGGTGCTTCATCAACTTTTGTGATTACTGCTTGGGACTGTGTTCTTTGGCAACTTACTCGAGTCCTTTACCTGGTGTGTGTTTGTAAAGTAGGAAGTTAAATGAATCCTAGACTAGAATTTAATCCTCTTGCTGAGATAATTTTTTAAAATCTTAATTGACAGTGGCGTTTTTTTATACTTAACCATGGATGTAGTGAGAAATTATGCTGTTTAGTAAAATAATGTACTTGACCAATGTGTAAAAAAGTTATATAAAGTAATTGTAAGAAAAATCTAGATTTTTTTCCTCTAAGAAAATCTATTTTCAATATATTATTTTTAGGCCAAAGCCATTATAAAAGAAACTCTTAATAAACTTCTTTTAGCATGTTTGGGGTCTTTGTTTAATATTGTCTCTTCTGTTGCAAAATACTGATGTAAAACTTTAAGACCTAATGTCAAAAAAAACTCATGTAGTTATGTCAAGAACCTAGGCCACGAAAACAAAACAGATGTCAACTCACAAAATTTAAGTACAAAAGATGTAGGTTAGGACCTCAGTTATCATCAAGCCTTGCCCTCCTTATCCCAGAAACTGAAGGTAGTTTACATAATAGGACATAACATAAAGTTTAGCAAAAACAGAACAAGCATGGGACAGAGCAGGGCCTGGACTCTAAGGCTGAAGTGCAGAATGCAAACGCCCACACCTGGAACAAGTTGGCAGCTCAGTCACCTGGTTGCTTCTGATTCTGCACGGATGGGATCCGGGCCTCTGTTCTTTCTTTCTAAAAATCCTTCAGTGATTTTGATCGGCAAACAGTGAGAACTACTTCTCCTAATGGCCAATGTTTTAAAAAAAAGAAGAAAGTTACACAACCTGGAATCACATTAAGTGCTAAAAAAAAGATTCTTTTTGGTTCTAAGATCAGACAGAAATTTTGTCAAAAGTACTCAGTTAACACTTGGTTTATATTGTTTTATTATTATATATAGGGTATAATATCCTGCATGGCATCCTTTTAAAAACTGCACCTAAGTTTCCTGGGGCTTTTTCTTATAAGAATACTCAATAAGCAAAGACAGCATACCAAACCACAATAATGTAGAAATAAGTGTTTGTGTATATGGTATTTCTTAGACCCTATAAACATTCAACATTATCTATTCCATTCAAAAATTGCCTTTAAAAGCTGTCTACCCCATTCTGATTTTCCTAAAAGCTTGTCACTATAATCCTTGATTTTAATGATAAATATTGGCTAGACAATAAACAAGCCTATCTCTTCTAGTTATAAACTGGCCTTGATATGTTCAATTTGCTTTAATAAGTCTTCCCTGAATTGCTGCAATCATTCAACAGCAGTACCATGTTGCCTTGCTAGCTGACAAAGTAGATTTCATCCCCAAATGTTATCTGTAACGAAAGAATACCAAGATGAAATTTTACTTAAAATTTTTTTTAAAGATTCATTTTTGGATTGATAGAAAGCAGTCAGGAGTGCGTACAGCAACAACTCTACTCTCATAGTTATCACCTGGCACATGCATTTCTCTTCAGAATCGAATCACAGCTCAGAGGACAACTACCACCTTGGGAGCATATTCAAAATCAGTGAGAACAGGTCCACCCCCCGAGAGGACTACTTCATATGCATCGACGTTCACAGATCTATTCCAAACTGCAAGCATCCTCTCATTAGTTCATTCGTTACATGCCTACTGTTATAAAATTTTATATAAAATCCTTTTGTATTTCTTGGGAAAAAATATTACCTTTCTGATGAAATACTAAAGATGTTTGCAATATTAAACTAGAAAATAATATTAACATATAAAATTAAATGTTTATTTATTTTTTCCCCCAAAGCCCCAGTAGATAGTTGTATGTCATAGCTGCACATCCTTCTAGTTGCTGTATGTGGGACACGGCCTCAGCATGGCCGGACAAGCGGTGCGTCCGTGCACGCCCGGGATCCGAACCCGGGCCGCCAGCAGCAGAGCGCGCGCACTTAACCACTAAGCCACGGGGCCGGCCCTAACATATAAAATTAAATTGTTAAAAGCATCTAAGTGACACTTCTAGGAGCCAAAAAGGGATATTTTGCATTTCATGTAAAAAATATATCAGAAAGTAGATGCTTTCAATGCATCTTTTTTTCCTGAAACAAATGCACGCAAATTTTAAGATTATTCCTGACTGGTATAGTTTTTAGTAAGCAGCTGAACATAACCTGTAGTGTGAAGGTTCAAACAAAGGACACCTGTATGTGAAATCTGCTTCCCAGCCAGGTATGTGTGCAAAATTTATAAATTGCTTTTTAAAAAAGGTTTAAGGGGCCGGCGCAGCGGTTAAGTGCGTGCGCTCCGCTTTGGCAGCCCGGGTTTTGCCAGTTTGGATCCCGGGCGTGCACCAACGCACCGCTTGTCAAGCCAGGCTGTGGTGGCATCGCATATAAAGTGGAGGAAGATGGGCACGGATGTTAGCCCAGGGCCGATATTCCTCAGCAAAAAAGAAGAGGACTGGCATTGGATGTTAGCTCAAGGCTGATCTCCCTCACACACAAAAAAAATAATAAAAAAATAAAAAAGGTTTAAGATGAATAAATTTTAAAATCAGAATAACTAATTAAAATGTTGATTGTATCACCTGTCTAGTTAAGAGAAACACCCTACTATGTTTTCCTTATCATGGTATTCTCGATGTACAGATCTCTAAATATCAGAACTTCAGAAGGCTCAGACAATATGGTTTGCTATAATATAAACAAGACACAGTAATAGCTAACCGTCTCAACTGCTGGGATTCTGAGCAACAAGGAAAATAGGTCTTATAAAGCCTGTGCACTTCATTTGGTGGGGAAAGAATCAAGCCATTCTCCAAGTCTGTTGACCGTGTATAACTGAGATCACCAAGTTAACAAGCTATGTTATCTAAATTCCCTTGGCAATCTTCAGTTCTGTCACATTTAAGGATAAAGTAAAAAGGGTGATAAGGGAGCAGGCCCGGTAATAGCTGCCCAGAGTTGCGAGATCAAGGTAGGTTATGAAACTACAAAGCCACTTTGACCTGTGGGCAGCCTACACAGGCAGAAATGGACGCGGGGGCTGCAGGTGCCGTGGCGGCATTACGATGCTGAAGTGCATGAAGAGGGTAGACCCGACTATAATAGACTTTCCTTAAAAATTGTTTTTGAGTACCGACCACTTTTGGAAACATTTTGAATCCACTGCACAACCAATTATTCTGTTAGCTAAAGTAGGTATTACAGGCCTTCCACAAATATACACTTAGTTAGTTAGGTTAGTTCCTATATATGCCTGTAAACAATAAAACTTCTTTTTCAATGTTCTTTAATTCAAACTGGCCTCCTTAATTATTCAGAATCAGTGATCTTGCCATATGTTCATCTATGAGATCTTGTTCCCAAATTAACACCTCAAAACTTTATGGGATTTATCTTAATATCAAAGAGAAGATGAAATTAAACAGATGAAAGATGAAATTAAACAAATACATGAGTGTTTGTTAATTCTGTTTGTTAATGTTAATTCTGATTGTCAGTAAAAATACTAATAAGTTGGCACCTGTGTAGTAAATATCAGAATATTTGTAGAGAAGAGTAAATAGTTGTGAAGAATATACTTTACAAAACCCAAAGATGATCTCAGATCTGTGGTTCAAGTCTGTGTTCCTCTAGACTCATGGGCCGCTGTCCAGATCCTTTCCACGTGCTCCCGTGTCAGTGCTCGCTGGGCTGGAAGTGCTGCCTTCCTCTGGGCTGCCTCTGGCATCAGTCTTGAGCTGGGCCTTTTCCACTGCCGGTGAACCTTCCACACTCTCTGACATCTCTTGGCCAGAGACAGGCTGAGCCGGCTGGCTGCTTTTAGTACTGCTTTCCGTCAGTGTGCTTTCTCCTGGGATTCCACCAATGTCTTTGGGCTTTGTATCCGAAATGGGTGATTTATGCTATAGAGAATTACATTTTGTTTTAATTGTTTAATGTAATGTGGAGGTTTAGTAATCAAACATGTTTAACAAGTTCCTATGCAGATCTATGGTGGCAAACTCTGAACTCTTTCAAATCCTGGTTCTAGTGCTGGACTGTAATTATATAAATGTTATTAAGCCTCAGAACTGTACATGGAGGAGGGGGACACTTAGGATATGCTAGATGGTCTAGTGACCCAGTTTAGGAAAGGTCAAGAAGACTGGTGACCAGTATTGCTAACTCCTCTTGCCTGGTGAGAAGAATTCATTAGACAAATGTTTACTGAGCATATATTAAGTTCTAGGTGCTAGGGATACAGCAGGAACAAAACAGACAAAAACCCCTGTCCTCACTGGAATTTACATTTAGGCTGACAAACAAACTAACAAAGTTAGTTAGTTAGTCAGGCAACAAACAAACTAACAAAGTATCATGCTGGAAGTGGGGTGGGGGTAGTGGGGTCAGACTGCTGTTTAAATTAGGGTGGTCTGAAAGGTGATACATGAGTCAAGACTTGAAAAAATGAACCATATGAACATATAGGGGAACAGCATTCTAGATAGTGAACAAGTACAAAGGCTCTGAGTTCAAGGAACAGTCAGGAGGTTCTTGTGGCTGAAGCACAGAATGAGCGTGGAGGGAGAGCAGAAGAGAGCAGTATGGTAACAGAAGTGGGACACGGGCAGATCAAGGAAGCCCCAGGCCACTGCGATAACTCTGGCTTTCCCTTCAAGTGAGATGGGAAGTCACTGGAAGATTTGTGAGTTGTGATAACCATTAACTATTAGAGCTGAAAGGAAAGGAACATCTCCCCCCTCCGCCCCCAAAGCCCCAGTAGATAGTTGTATGTCATAGTTGCACATCCTTCTTAGTTGCTGTATGTGGGACGCGGCCTCAGCATGGCCAGAGAAGCGGTGCGTTGGTGCACGCCCGGGATCCGAACCCGGGCCACCAGCAGCGGAGCGCACGCACTTAACCGCTAAGCCACGGGGCCGGCCCAGGAAAGGAACATCTTTAAGTTTCCTAGATGCATGCAGACATGCTTATGCTTATAAGGAACTCCATGGGAAGGGATTCTATAATTTCTTAGATTCTCTTGTGCTTGCAACTATTTCTCAAAAGTTTACAGTTGCAACTTAAACTTTGTAAATGACAATACAAATTCCTGTCTCAAACAGAAACAGCCAATAATGGTGGAAAAAACACCTCGCCATTCCACAGGTAAAAAGAATAGTCTAGCCAGCCAATGATATAAAAGATTTAGGAAAGCACTTTTTGATCCCTCTACACCCTTCCACCCAGCTCTCCTGGGGGTTCCCTAGGGCTTCTGGCCTTCAGTGAGGAATTTTCTCTGATCTCTTCAAAGGTAGACATTTCAGTCATGCTCGCTTGTTGGTTTCCTATAAAATTTCAAATGAATTACCATCTGTTCTAACAAACTACTGTTAAATAGTTTTTAATGTAAAAATTAAATCTCATTATTTTTCTTCTGAGGAGGCTGGACTAACTTTTGACCAGAAAGGAGAAGAGAGAAAGTGAATCATTATATCATTAATGCTACAATTAACTGTGAAAGATCAAAGTTAGAGTAAAAACACTTAACTACAAGTTTTTAAGGAAGCAGTTAGGCCTAGTATGAAGAGACAGCAAATAAACAGTTGCTGACTTACACTGGGTACCTCCTTGGGATGCTCTCTCGCCTCTGCGCGTGGTAAATCACGTGCCGGGTGCACTGCAAGGCTCTTGTTGCCAGTCTGAAATCTCAAGTCAACATCTCTCTCTCTCAAAACGTCTCTTCTACCCTCATAGGTTTTGTCATACAGGCCTTGCTCAGGGGGGCCAATCTGGCCTCTATAACAGAAATCTGCATCACCTGCTCCACCATGGGGTCTGTAGTCAACTTCCCGCTGCCGTCTTCTATCACTTGGCAGAAGGGCCCAGGGCGGTTCTCTTTCAGGACCACCTATATGTCTCAGCACATTAACTGATTTTCCAGCACCATAGCAGAAACTCTAGAAGGAAAAGAAATTCATATTCCTGAGTCCTTTAATGGCTGACTTACAACGAAATTATGAGATGTTTTACTCAGGTTCTAGCACTCAAGTGCTAACAAAATGATGTAATTTAACTTGTGGCATTTATAGACATAAACATGTTAATTGCACTGTTTTTTCAGTAGAGATCTCTTCTTTAGATAAATAAGGACCACAGTAGCCAATGAAATTTGAGAAATCACTAAGCATTAAGAAAACATTGCAGTCAGCTGAACACATTTTTATTGAATTATATCATAACAATGGCCATTTGGCTAAAGCCTAGAAATTTAAATTGGAAGGTACTAATTGTCTTATAATTGCTTGTATGTTGTCTATATCCACACCCATCAAATAAATGCTGAAAATTATTCAAAGTTGTACATCATTATGTAAACATTTTCCTGTAGGATGATTTCTTCTACAAATACAAACTTGGCTTTAGCTACAGTTAAAATACACCAGGCTTTGAGTCACATTCCATGGGAAAAACTAGGCAGCAGTTCTCAGAGTGTCACGGCCCAGGGACTCCTGGAGGGATCCCTTAGACTCTTTCAGAGACCTGTGAAGTCAAAGCTTTTCACAGTACAAAGACATTAGTCGTCTTCATTCTGTCATGAGGGCACAGTAGAGTCTTCCGGGGCTAGAATGACTTCTTCACTCTGATGGCTCATGGGCTGTGTGCTTGGGTATACTGGTATTTTAGACCTTTCTTAGTTTTAAATTCCTAATTATAGTAAAAATCAATAAAGGAAACCCCTATAAACAAGAGCTCTTTGTGGTCTTCAATTCTTAGGAATGCAAAAGGGTCCTGAGAACAAAAAGTGTGCAAATCCCTACACTAGAGATACTATTTGAAGACAGAAGCAGCAAAAGGCCTTTTCTTAGGCAGCAGATGAAGCAACAAGAGATGATGGGGTTTTTGCTTATAATTTCAGTTTCAGAAACTAAACTACTACTGTACAACTAATGTCACCTAACAAAACTATACCCCTAAACCACTAAATCCTGTAAGTAATCACAAGCCAAAAAACAAAACCAAAGCAGGAACAATTTCAGAGTGAACAGAGCATAGTGAATTTTGCATCCTTAGGCAGGACCATCCTTTAATAACTTCCCATGGCATTTATGAGTTCTTTACATGTTGTTTTATGTGACAAGTGCTTTATTTGGGTGAGGGGTGAAAACCAACAACAAAAAAGCTGACGAGACCATGGACAAATGACGCGTACTCTTTCTTCTTAAATGTCTGCTCCTGGATCCCCAAACTGTTCTCAATACACCCAACCTTCTTCCACATCTCTTTCTGATTCTGTGTTAAACCCAATGGTCTTCCCTTCTCAGTGGTGCAAAAACTCAGACTGAAATAAGAGGGCCCCCTTTCTCAAAGATGGTATAAACAACTGATTTCATGTGTATTAATTCACCAAGTTTCAAGAATAAATTTAAAAAGAGGTTATCAGTCTACATCACTGCTTTGACATCTACAATCAAACTTGAATGGCACTGCCTTGCTTAGAGGAATATACATGTAAGTATAAATAAATCTGTATCACCTAAAAATCATCTTTTCATACCATTAAGCATGCTTTAGCCTGATTTACAACAGCAAAGAAGCCTAATGATTTTAGAATTGCCTTTTTCCTATAAATCCTGTAATTGTTAACCGTGCTATATACTCACCAGGACAGCTAATGCCATAGTTATCAGCACCGGAATGTGCAGTAACACTGGGATCTCCTTCATGAGTGCTCTAATAAATTCACCAGCTCCTTTTCCAATGTGCTTCAGCGGCTCTGTGACAAAGTTGGTGAATGTAACGGCCAGTGCCTAAAACAAAAGATAAAAGCAAGTTGATTTTTTCCTCAAAGGACTGAGGCACTTAAAATGAGTCAAAATTCACTGTGCACTGAGGCTGAAATTATGTTATGTAAATTCAAATGTTGTCAGATGCTTTTAATGTGAAAGTCACTGTGTAATGGAAGTATTTTTCTAGAACAAAGGTTTATTATTAGCAAAATTCCTCTAAAAAACACTCACAATTTTTAATAAATACAAGGGATTTTTGACTTACTTTTATATAAGTAATTTTTACAAAATATATTCCATACCTTTGTTGGTGGGACCAACCAAATAGGGTTGACTAATAAGAGCTCATAGTATTTTTGGCATGGGTCATCCTTATAGGTCCATGAACTTCTAAACCATTCTATTTTGAGAAACAGACAAAACACTGAGTCATTAAAAAAAAAGTCAACATTTCATTCCCAAATAAGACAATATTTTGGTTTTAACTCTCCTCCTCTTCATCCAATTTTAAATTGTTTTACAAATAGACTCTTTGTAACGCTGATTTTTAAAATTTTCATCCTATGTCCAAAATGTTTACTTTAAAAAGCCATTCAAATTATACAAGACTTATGTAGATAAAATGTTATATTTTATGAAGATTTCTAAAAGGCAGATAATTAAAAGCAGTTCTTCACACACACAAATGAATCCGAGTAAAACTTGGGGAAATCTGAATAAGATTGGTGGACCGTATCAAAGTCAATATGCTGGCTGTGATACTGTACTATTATCGTTGTGCAAGATGCTTCCACTGGGGGAAAAGGGATAAAGGGTACACAGGATCTCTCTCTATTATTTCTTACAACTACCTGTGAACACTTTGAAAAGTCAGTTCTTTACTTATTGCACAAAATAAAGTAGAACATTAGTTCTCCCAATTTTTTTAAATCAGGCTTATATTCATTATGTATGAGCCTGAGCTAGAGGAGGCATTTAGTTGTCCCCTGAAGCCAGGAAGGAAGGCTGGATTGGTTTAGTTCCCATAACTTTTTAAGAAATATTAATTTTGGACACCCTGATTTGCAGAATCTGCTGAGATTCTATTCTGGGTCAGTCTTTACGGACTTGCATGTATAAAGTGCCTGTGAACATTAAACCATTCTCACTGCTAAATACACATAACTAAAGGCAGTCTACATCAGTGAGAATGTTTAAAAATCTATAAAACAAAAGTAATTTTCCCATTAGTAAAAACAAAAAAGATATAGTAAAGCTACAATATAAGATTTCATAAGTCAAAATAAGGAGATTAAATCTAAGATGGATATTAATTCATATCTACATTAATTCCTTCTTTAATAAACTTCTGTTGAGGACCTAGAATGCACTAGACACTGTGCTAAGAACTAAATGAACAAAAGCGAGCATAAGATTCTTCTAATGGAATTCAGTCTAATGGAGGAAGACAGATAATATCAGAGCCAGCATATATACAGTTTCTATTGCTTCCCTGCGGCATTACACGAACACAAAAGTCACTGGCTGGAAATCTAAGACTCTTTTTGCATGCTCTTCTGATTTTAAAGATTCAGTCATGAAAAGCCTCTTTCTGGCATTTTATCATTTCTTTGTAATTATTAATATGTCTTCTCATTCTCAGAAATTCTATTTAAAATAAGGCCAAGTGAACCAACACTTTACCCCAGAGACTTCCAGACCAGTCCATCTTCTCGGCACACACATTGTTTAAGGGCTCCATCTTGGCAACTTCAGCCTGATGCTGTGCGAAGGCTAGCTGAGCAACACCAAAAGGGAACCATCAAAGGCTGCTAACAACGAAAGTTACATCTACGCATCCAAAAACCCGAGTTCAAAGTGTGTCTTCACCATTCATCCAAACCAGACTGCTTACAAATTTTTAACAGAAAAAATATAAATATACTATTTTTTAAGAGTAGCTCTTTTCAGCTCACGGCAAAGCACAGTCTTAATGCAACAAGTAAGGATAAAGAACCAACTACAACTGCCTTCTTTGAAAGTAATTATGATGAGGAAGGAAAACCTTTTTACTAAAAAGATTGTTTTAAAAATTACTTCAAATATAGTTCATACCATGTGCCAAAATATAGCTATACATATTAAATGACTACTCATTTTCTTTTACAATTCACGATAAAATAGTGTTTTGCTTTGCATAGTTTTCAGCACAAAAGACCAAAATAAAGATAATATATCTTTTATAAATCAAAGCCCTGGGGAAAATCATTGAGATAATATTCAACCAAATGACAATCCTTCCTCTAATCTATAAATAAGTAGTTCTAGAAGCTATAGAACTTAGAGCAAAAGGTTAAGGAAATATCACAATGATTTAATCAGATGAATTCATTGAAAATAGTTGCCTACTTGACTGACACCCTGCTAAAATTTTCCTTCAATGATTATGCTATTTTGACAGGAACAGTAGTGCTCCCTTTGAATTTCTATATACAGCATGATCCCAATTTTGAAAGAATTAAAATTTAGAAAAAAGATTGGAAAGAAACACCTCAAAATATTGACAATGATTATCTCCAGGTGATAAAATTAGAGGTGATTTTAAAAAATTAAATTTCTCTGTATTTTTCTATCTTTTCTAAATTCTCTACCATGAACATACCACTTTTATATTCAGAAAATAATCTCTTTAAAAATGATATTTTAGTATCATTTCTAGCAAAGAATAAAAGGACAGGGCCGGCCCTGTGGCTTAGCGGTTAAGTGCGCGCGCTCTGGTGCTGGCGGCCTGGGTTCGGATCCAGGCGCACACCGAGGCACCACTTCTCTGGCCATGCTGAGGCGGAGTCCCACATACAGCAACTAGAAGGATGTGCAGCTATGACACACAACTATCTACTGGGGCTTTGGGGGGAAAAAATAAATAAAATCTTAAAAAAAAAAAAAAAAAAAAAAAAAGAATAAAAGGACATACCCCAAATCACCCACAAGAATTTTTAAAATGTGTCTACCTAGCTCTTTTCTGATTTACCTCTCCAGATTCTGCCCACCAGGAACTGGGTTATGAAAATTAGGACTGCACTTTTTTCCCCACTAACTGGTCACGGACCCAAAAAACCAGGCACACCCCAGCTGTTGCCCATTTCCTCCCCTCCCCCCACCGTCTCCATCACTGCCTCCCACCCTCACCTAAGGCAAGATTATACACCAGCTCTAAACAGGTGAGAGTCTTATTATGAAATAACATTTTTAAATATGAAAACCTTCCACCTATTTAATACCTTATATAAATACATCCAATTCCATGCCAAACTGAAGAGAAAACTGATGACTAAAACACGTCTCAACTGGGTGTACCAACGAACGTACGTCCACAGCTCGGTAGCTATTAACACCACAATGCAGAGCAGACACAAAAGCACCTCGAAAACAGAAAGAAGAAAAAGCAGAGTCACTGCCAAGCCATCCTCCCCACCACAAAACATTAATTGTCAGCAAAAACAAAAACTGGGACTCAAATACGCAGAATCACCTGTACCATTTTGCTTCATGTTCAGTGCAGTATCAGTGACTTAGTACAAGTTCTTAATACAATTACGATGGATTTTTAAAAGTATTTAAAAAAGAAACCATTAATCATGTCCCCCTCATCCCATCTTACCATGAACACATTATATGGATCCACTCCAAAGGCATCTTCAAATTGCCACTTCCATGTTTCAAAATCATGAAACTTAAAATTAATTAAAATATCACTTAGTGCATCATCCAAGGCTCCTGGTTTCCAATCCTCTCCATTGAGAAACTTCTGTATTTCTAACAAGGTTTGTCTTTTAAGTATAATCTCGGCATCATAATGCATATCGTCTTTGTTTTCATCAGGCTGAATTAAATTTGCCAAAAAAAAAAAATTGAAAAGGAGAATTTTATCATTATATCACTTAGTGAAATATTTTAAAACAAAAGCTAATTTGGAAATATATAATTACTTCACAATATTTCATACGTATAAAATGAGCAATAATATCTACTTGTCTGTCTCATAGGCCAACATGAAAACCAAAGATAATAGGTGTGTGAAAAACATTTCAAAAATTATAAAGCTCTATGCAAGTAAGATACTGTACATTTTACTAAAAATACAGTTGATTCTGCTATCTCCAATAGTTATATTGTGTAAAGTCACCTTGGACACTAATTAATAAATACTGAACCATGGCTCCTACAGGAAATACAGGATTAGGTTACTGCAAACACATTTTCATCACCAATCAATATGTAATCTTTTTTTTTTTTTTAAAGGTTTTATTTATTTATTTATTTTTTGGTGAGGAAGATCAGCCCTGAGCTAACATCCATGCCAATCCTCCTCTTTTTGCTGAGGAAGACTGGCCCTGAGCTAACATCTATTGCCAATCCTCCTCCTTTTTTTTTCCCTTTTTCTCCCCAAGGCCCCAGTAGATAGTCGTATGTCATAGTTGCATATCCTTCTAGTTGCTGTATGTGGGACGCCGCCTCAGCATGGCCGGACAAGCAGTGCGTCAGTGTGCGCCCCGATCCGAACCCTGGTGCCAGTAGCGAGCGCACGTACTTAACCGCCAAGCCACGGGGCCGGCCCCAATACGTAACCTTTTTAATATATGCTTCCATTTAAAGACACCTTAATATATATTGTTGATTCATTAACACTGAACTCATGGCCAACAACACTGTAACGCATGCCTGAACCAAGCTTAACTAACATGGGAATTTTCTCTGTAAGGCACATCACAGCCTTCTTGCACTTAGGAACACTAGACAGCACTATACATGGGAGCTATTTAAACAGCAAAATCACATACACAAAAAATGTAGCACTGAATAGAGCACGAAAAAGTACTCGTTTATAGTATGAGAACCAAAACAAGGCAGAACACGGCCTTGTTCCACCTCAGCTGAGAATGGGCTCATCAGGAAACTCAAACATCCTACTGCTCTGTGCATGTCCAGAGTGACCACAGAAGCACCACGAGTATTGATTTTGGGGTTACAAATAAAGGTTAGTGAGTAGGAAAATTTGCAGATAAGGAATCCACAATAAGGAGGAGTGACTGTCTATTTTATGATTCAGTTTATGACTTTCCATTTGCTGACAGTTTTCAGATAGCCTAAAAGTTGCAGTAGTACAAATAAGAAAAAAAAAGGGATCTCAAAAAGCAGCAAAATCCGGGTTTTCCATGAACATGCATGATATTTATAACTATCTTTATTGGTGTGAGTTCAGGTTAGCAAAATCACTATACACATTTTACATTCATTAACCAGTTAATAGACATAAGAAAAATTCTTTCTTTTCTAAGAGTAAATGCAGATATTTATATAAAAAAGTAAATGTAAAATGAGAAAAACCAAAGTGTCATGTAATCTCACAAATCATCAGTAAGTATAAAAAAGCAGTCATTGATGAATATTTTTTAAAAACCAGGAACTGAATATTCCAAGCATGTCCATCTAGGTATTCCTGGCTCCATCCGTTTCCTCATCTATACAATAGGCTCTGTTCTACCTCGCACACAGTTACAAGACTTGAATTAAAGGGTGCACACATGAGAAGATCTACATTTCCAAAATAAGGTGGGATGAATAAATTATTCATCTAACACCCCTTTTCCTTAAGTTTTCTTAATGTTTTGATTCTCAACATGAAAATGATGACTCAAAAAAACGGAATCTTAATATGAATTATGAACAATACATGCACAATACGTAATTCTATAAAGCAGCACATGCCACAGTAAACAGCTAGGGGAAAAAACTACTTAAAACACATTTTTCTTTTCTTCAACATGTAATGATCTTACATCACCTGAATAAGGAAGTGGGGAAGTAGCAGAGAACAGGAAGTAAGGACCAGGATAGAATTTCCTTACCAAGTCACGAATTTGTTAAGTTTCCAACTGTTTAGTAAAGTTCAAATGGCAAATTTAAAACAATATCCCCAATTCAACTGAGTGGTACTACATTGCACAGAACTGAACAAGTAAATCCCCATGAACTAGAAGAAAAAAAAGGAGTGGTCTGTACTGCCTGCTCACCTTCTACCAGATGCTGCAAAGCAGACTGGTACCTTTAATTCTGCAGGAATAGGTTCTGGTCAAGGGTAAGTCAGGTATTCTCTGTTAAAGCATAATGAAGCTTTATCACTGCTCTACATACTTTGAAATTAATAAGTAATGAAAACACCCACTACACTGATTAGTGTCACACCACCAAATACTCACAAGTCCGAGCTTTCCAGCTTCAATTAAAATCTTATTTAAGTATCTCCTGAAAACAGGATTGCTTTGACTTTCATAGTCTTTCCTCTTTTTGTTTTCACACTCAGCAATCTGTAATCACAAAATAAATACAATACTAGTTAGCATCAAAGTTTAACGTAAGGGTCAAGTTTCTAGCCTAGCGGTCTCATCCAGATCAAGGTAAAGAGCTGGTTATTTTCATCAAGCTTGCACTGACACGTGGAGCTTGCCTGCTTGCTGTGGCTTCTCTTGGTGAAGGGCAAGCAGGCAAGGAGGAACTCACGTCCAGCACTTCGCCCTGACGGCAGCTTTCCCACTGACTTGCAGCAATTCTAAAGCTGAAGATCAGGAAGAAAGGAGGAAGGGACGTGGATAAGCACAGCGTCTAGACCAATCTGCCTCTTCCTAATCCCAGAGTAATGATTTAACAAACAAAGGAATGAAAGGAAGAAGGAAAGAAAGGAAGAAGGAATGAAAGAAAGAAGAAACAGAGACATACAGAGAAAGAAACAGAGACAGGATAAAGTCTGAAGATGAAATGAAGGACATAGCAAAGAATTTCTTGAATGTGCATATTCCTTTTGGCCTTTTATTAATTTTTCCTGTCAATGAGTGATCATCCCCCGCGATATGGGATGCTTCAGGAGGGCAGGAACCACGGCTTCTCCAGAGTGTCCACACATGGCAACCTCTCAACACACAATTCTTCATTAAAACAGACTTCCTCTGAACCTAGCCCTGCAAACACCACAGTGGCCAAGTTGCTGAGCGAGGGTATAGTGTATATCTCACAGACATGAGAACTTGTGTTATTGAGTATGGACCACGAGATGAGCTGAGCACTGGGACGGGCTTTAGATGATACACATGACAATAACTGAAAAGCACACAGACAGGACAGAGGGACACTCAAGGAGTCATGTGGCAGTTTCCTCTGCTTTCAGGAAGGTTTACAAACCTTTTAAAATCTGTAAATTTCTCTTCAAAAGAAACAATTTTTTTAAAACAAGGACTCAAGACTCCACTTTACTGAGCACGTTTTTACAATGTTTGAACCAAAGTCACAAACAACGCAAGGAAAAATATTTGTAAAAAGGCATTTCTGCCTTTCCTCCTGTGGAGCCAGACTAGCTCCCCACACACAAAATGCAGTTAAACTGAGGCAAAGCTTACCCAAGCGAACACTCAGGTGGGACAACACTAATGTTTGATAAGAACCACAGGTGGTGCTTAGAGATCTCAACCTGAGACCCAGCTGGATCTCAGTTACCAACCCTCCCCCTTCTCTTAGGCTGGAAACCGCCCTTGTTCTCTCTAGCTCTCCCCTATCCTTTTTCCCTCCTCCCTCAGCTACCTAAACTTGCCTATTCTACCTGGGAAAGTCAAACTTTCCTCTTCTCTTCAACCCCTGTCACTGCCTCACTCGGAGCCTTCAGCATTGCTGGACCTCTGCCACCCCCTCTCCGTCCCAGGCCCCCTCCACACTCCACCAGCTCCCCCTGCCCACACAAGCACCAGAGGCTGCTGCCCACAGCGTAACAGAGGTCAAACCCCTTCACAATCCTGACTTATTTCCTTTCTCATAAACTCCGCTTCAGCCACATAAATAAAAGGATTGAATAAATGAAGGAATAGCTACCACACTAAATTATAGCAACCCCTTACATTTGTAAGAGTAACTCTTACGCTTATAAACTGGTAATAGGCCCATTTCTTCATTTGCTACATGACAGGTGAGAGAGAATCAAGAATGAATAAAACAGATTCCTTGTCCCAAGAAATTTTCAGTCTTGTAAAGAAATAATTACAACATAGTGAGATAAATGTTATCATAGGAAAATAAAAGTACTATTTAAAAAAAAAGCCAGAGTAACTAAAGAAAAAATTATATACATAAATATAAATGGTACATTATATAGAAACAAACAGTGTTAGCAAAGACAGGAAAACAGAGCAATTTAACATACTGTAAGTAACATAAAATTCACAAATGAAAAAAATCTAACCTTATGAGTTAAAGAATCAACTCTGCTGTAACATTCTGACAATTCATCAGCAGACAAGTTAGGACTGACCTCTTTTTTCTCTGAAATATCATATTTCACCTAAAGCAAAGTAGAGATTTATTTCTTTATAGTTCAGTTGTAAAAATAACCTACTGTTAATGAAGACTAAAATTTTGACTTCATCATTTTATGACTTTGCTTGTTATATTCTTCAGCTGTCCTGAACCACCAAAAAAGTAAGAGTCTCAAATTTATATACTAGCTAAGAACTAAAATCAAATTAGTTTGCTGCTTGATGGGCTTTACATTCAAATCCAAAACAGAAATAACCAGGTGGGGCTGAAATCATCTTAGACTAAGAGCGTCAGATATTCTGCATGATTGCTAATCACTGATACATGACTCTCACAGCTCTGTGGAAAACAATAAGAAAAGCAGAGTACTTCCATCGTAGGACTGATAAGGTCTCACACACACACATGCATTTTTTTTTAATACCTGAGATTTCCTCATTGTTCCTGAAGCAGCATCATAGTTAAGCATGTCTGTGGGGTCAATCCAGTCATCATCATGAGCATAACCAGTTATCAGCCACAGACATTCACAAAGGAGCAGACAGCACAGCATCCTGCGTGAGGACTAAAAAAATTTTAATAGACATAATAAAATATAATTATTTTTAGAAGAAATTATTTTGTAATAAAAACCATCTATTTCCTTCTAGTACTAAGACAACGTTTTCTTTCTGAATAACAACAGAAATAAAAATACTCAGTAAAATGGTATTCACATATAAATACATACACACAGGCATACGTATTCTCATTGAGTCAAAAAGTAAATAAGTATTTTTCCATACGATTCAGTAATTCAATTCCTAGGTATATACCCAAGAGAAATGAAAATGTATGACCACACAAAACCTTGTACACATGTTTATTGCTGCATTCTTCACAAGAGCCAAAAACTAGAAACAACCCAAACGTCCATCAACTGACGAATGAATAAAATGTGACATCCATACAATGGAGTATTAGGCTATAAAAAAGAATGAAGTACTGATACAGGCTACAGCATGGATGAACCTTGAAAACATTATGCTATATGAAAGAAGCTAGACACGAAAGACCATATATTATATGATTCCAGTTATATGAAATGTCCAGAATAGGCAGATCTATAGAGACAGAAAGTAGTTTAGCAGGTGCTTAGAGCTGGGGATGTAATAAGGGACAGAGGGTGCTAGCTAAAGGGTACAGGGTTTCTTTCTGAGGTGATGAAAATGATCTAAAATTTATTGTGGTGATGGCTGTACAATCTGTGAATATACTAAACACTCCTGAATTGTACACTTTATTATTTTTTTTGTGAGGAAGATCGGCCCTGAGCTAACATCTGCCAATCCTCCTCTTTTCACTGAGGAAGACTGGCCCTGGGCTAACATCCATGCCCATCTTCCTCTACTTTATATGGGACGCCGCCACAGCATGGCTCGACAAGCAGTGTGTCGGTGCGTGCCCGGGATCCGAACTGGCAAACCCCGGGCCGCCACGGCAGAGCGCGCACACCCAACCGCTTGCGCCACCAGGACGGCCCCCTGAATTGTACACTTTAAATGGGTGAATTGTATACTATGTGAATCATTTCTCAGTAAACCGTTTAAAAAAAAAAACAAAACAGGCATTTTAACCAAACCCTCCCCCCGTTTTTTTAAACAAATGGGAAAAAAAGATGCAAAATTAAGATTCAAATGAGGTGACTAAACTCCAAAACCATTCAGGAAAAATAATCTGCTTCATCTAAGCCTCTGCATAAATACTGTGAAGCCATTTCAACACTTAATACCTCCTCTATTCAACACTGTCCAATACAGTAGCTACTAGCCGCATGTGGCTATTTAAATTTAAATTAACTAAAATTAAATAAAATTAAAAATTCAATTCCTCATTCATACTACCTACATTTCAAGTGCTCAAAAGCCACAGTGGCTAGCGGCCACCATATTGGACAGTGAAGATATAGAACATTTCCATCACTGCAGAAAGTTCTGTGGGATAGCCTGTCTTATGCCTACTACATATAAGAACCAAGTAAGGGAATTCCAAGAGGAGAAAGCCTGGGCCCTGCCCATAAATGGCTTCCAGTCTAGCTGTACGAATACAAATAACTCCAGGGTAAATTAAACACTCCTTCTCTGTACTCCAAGTGGGCTCTCCTTATTCTTCTAGCATAACACCCAATGAAACTAGCCACTTATTGATCTGTCTCTTCCGTTAACACAGTGGTTCTCAATCTCGGCTGTGTATTAGGATCACCAGGGAGCTTCTAAAAATCCCAATGTTCTGGCCACATCCCAGAACAATTAAATCAGAATCTCTAGGGGTGGGACACAAGCATTGGGAATTTTAAAGCTCCCCAGGTGGGTCCATTATGCAGCGAAGGTAGAAAACAGCTGCGCTCCAACGTGAACTATATTGCACTCAAATCAGAATTCACCTTCCCTATGACCTCTCCATCGTGCCCCCTCCACCTCTCCAAGCCCAACACCGAGCCCAGTGGCTGGCACATGAAAGGCATTCAGTAAACGTTGGTTAAACAGCAAATGCAAACGATCAAAGCCATAGCAGGGATTCAAAAGGTTTTAGAAGTTCAAAGGATGAAGAAAGCACATCTGATTGGGAGAAAGTGGAGAGTTCATAGAGGAATGGGCATGGGAAATGGATGTTGAAGTATGGGTGACATCCTAAGAGTGTGAGTTATGGGAGGCAGAGGCAGAAGAGCAAAGGGTATGCTTCAGAAACGGTGAATGCAAGGATGGATGTAGAGATGGAGAGGTAGGCTGTGATGACATGTCAAAGTAAAAAGCTTATGACTAACTTGATCTGCTAACAGCTTTCAAGGGTGAGGGGAGCTACATCCTGAGAAGATGAAACTAGCATTAAGTGTACAGAACGAGGAAAAAACCAGATTCAGAGTCCAACAAGGAGGCTGAAGTAGAAAAAGGACGGTGGTCTGAAAGAGTGGTAGCAATGAGAACAGAAAGAACACACGTGACACATTTTGAAATTAATTCTACAGACCTCAGCAACTAATGCACGTGGAAGGAAAGGAAAAGAATGACGGCAAACAAGATTTCAAGGCCTACTACCAAAAATGGTACTATCATTAACCTAAAACAAGAAATTCAGATCGAGAATATGGTTTTGGGAAAAAGTTCAGCAGGCATTTGTTCAGCATTTAATAAATACACACTGGATACTGCGCACTCTCTTAAGTGACAGGGATACCAGGAAACTAGACTGGCCAGGTCTTTAGGAAATGTACATTCTAGGAGGAGAGGACAATAAGTTGGCAAAAAAATAAACATAACTTCAGAGAGAGATAAGTCCTGTGAAGAAAATAAAGCAAGACAATGGTATGGTTGGATTAGGTGATGTTGGGTATTTTAGAGAAGGCCTCTGAGATGAAAGATGGTCACAAATTATTTGTCATTTCCCCACAGAGAGACGCAGTTTATCTCCCCTCCTCCTGAATTTGGGCTGGCCATGTGACTACTTAGCCAAAATATTGTGGTAGAAGTAACGCTGTGTTGTTTCTGGGCCTGGTCTAGCCTACACGAGGATCTGCTGCTTCTACTTTATCACTTTGGAACACTTGCTCTTGGGAGCTTCTGGAACTCAGCCACCAAGCTGTGAAAAGGCTAAGCCACGTGGAGAGGTCATGTGTAGGTGCACAACAAGCTCCCAGCTGACAGCCAACATCAACAGCCAGCCAAGTGAGCCATCTTGGTGGTTCCAGTCAAATCCCTTGGTAACTGACTTGGTGACTGAACAGCATGTGGAATAAAAGAACTACCCACCTGAGCCCAGTTAAGCTCCATAAGCCCCCGGAATCAGGGGAGATAATAAAATGGTTGTTTAAAGACACTAAACTTTGGGGTGGTTTGTTACACAGCAGTAGATAACCAAAACAACATTTAAGTAGAAAAATAAGAAGCTAACCTTAGAAACATTTGAGAAAAGAACATCCAGAGAGGACATAGCAAGCATAAAGACCCAGAGTAGGGAATAAGTTTGAAGCATTCAAAGAACAGCAAGAGGGGCTGGCGCAAGCGGTTAAGTGCGCGCGCTCCACTGCGGCAGCCTGGGGTTCGCCAGTTCGGATCCTGGGCGCACACCGACACACTGCCTGGCAAGCCATGCTGTGGCGGCGTCCCATATTAAGTGGAGGAAGATGGGCATGGATGTTATCCCAGGGCCAGTCTTCCTCAGCAAAAAGAGGAGGATTGGCAGATGTTAGCTCAGGGCCAATCTTCCTCAAAAAAAAAAAAAAAGAAGACCAGAACAGCTGCATCTTGTGAATGAGTTGGGGGTGGGGGTAGGACACAGTAATGAGTGTGGTTTTTCACTCTAAGTGTAACAGAAAGCCACTAGAGGGTTTTAAGCTGGGAAGTGATAGAATTTGGGTAACATTCTAAAATAAATCACTGTGGCTGCTTTGTAGAGACTGTAATGGAAGAACAAAAGCAGGAGACTAGCTGGGAGGATTTGCAGTAGTCCAGCTGAGAGATGAAGGTGGCATCAACTAAGATAGCATCCAACGTGATGATAAATGATCGGATTTTAAAAATGTGAGGTAGGCACTATGACATGAGGCAAAGACCAGCTAATAGGTCACCAAGCACATTTCTTCTTCTTTCTGGACACATGGTGACTACATATCCCAGCCTCTCTTCCAGTTAAGTATGGCCATGTGATAACTAAGTTCGGGCCAATGCACCAGGAGTGGAAGGAACATGCACTACATCAAGGTCTGGCCCATGAAAGCCTCCCACACTCGATCCTCCATCAGCTCTCCCTCCCCACCAGGGAATGGAGAGGACACTGAGCCCTAGAGGAGGGCAGCCAAACTACAGAAGGAACTTGGGTCCCTAAATGACCACATGCAAGGCCACCCACTAAGTGGGAACACGTGTTTGACTTTCATGTGAACAAAAATAAATTTCTTTTATGGTAAGTCCTGAGATTTGGGGGTTTGTTTTTTACACCATCTCGTGCTACCCTAACAAAACAGCAATACACTGCAGAAATCGCTGGTAAATGGGATGTAAGATGTAAGGATGAGAGAAGATTCAGGATGACTTCTAGGTTTGTGACCTGGGCAACCGGGAGAATGGGAAAGACTGAGGGACACTCAGGTAGGCAGACAGCAAGTTCTGACAGATCAAGAGTTTTGTTTTAGACATAGTAAATTTCAGATATCTACTGATGTCCAAGTATTGATGTTGAATACACAATACAGAGATAAGGAGAAAAGTGAGGCTACAGAAATACATTTGAGAGCCATCAGAATACAGATGGGGTTTAAAGCCATGGACTGAATAAGATCACCAGAAGATGTATTATGAGGACAAAAGACTGAGTCCTGGGGCATGCTAACATTTGGGGGTCAGAAAGAAGAGGGAGAGCTGGCAAGAGATACTACCAACGAGTGCTAGTGACGCAGGAGGAAATCCAGGAGAGGCTGGTATTCCAGAAGTCCATGAAGAAAGGAGGGAACAGATAACTATGTCGAATACTGCTGACAGGTCAGGTGATCAGAGGGTAGCAAACTAACCATTTGGATTTGGCAGCTTTAATGGAGT